GTCCACAAGAGATAATAATATGGTGGTTGTTTTCAGCTGCTAATTTTGGGGTGATTTGCTCTATAACAATAGATAATCAAGACAGTCCCTAAAGTCCTACTGAATGTAGGGATGGAAATCATCATCTATCTGTTTATTGCATAAATAATAGTTATATATGCAAATGAATAGGATATATCAATTAGGATTCTTTTGAGAGGTAGTAATAGAAACTCAACTCAAACTGCTTAGGGAAAAGGTGGACGTTTTTGTCTCAAGAAACCCAAGGAAGTTAACTTATCCAATTGCAGGAGAATCAGGGATGATGTTTAAGTTCTTAAATGCTACAGGGCATTTTTTTCTCCATCTCTCGTTTCTACTTTCTTCTCTGTGCTGGGTTCATTCCTATTCACTGCAGACTTGCATTGTCTACTTGGTGAGAAACACAGCTATGAACAAATCCTTAGTTTTGCATCTTACAGATTCTACTATTGGAGAGAGACTATTCTTTTTCTTAGGCACAGTTTGAAAAATCCCAGGGATAGACTCTGATTGGCTAAACTTGGGTCAATCACTGTCCCTGAGCCAATCAACTGTGGCTGACTGGGGAAAGGGAGGGAGGAAGGGAGAATTATGCTGGGGTGACAGGATGAATTGGCCACACATCATTCATCATTCAGCAGACTAGCCTGGGCTTGTTCACATGATGGCAGAAGAGCTCCCAGCAACATGGTAAGTCCCAGTATGATGTATTTTTCAAGTTTCTGTGTGCATCCCATTTGCTAATGTCCCACTGGACAAAGCAAGTTGCCACGTAGCCATGCCCATATTTCACCAAAAAATGACTCCATCTTTTGATGGGAGAAGCTGCAGTATATTGATTGCCTCATTTTCTTCCCCCAACCTGTCACATTGCGTATGTGTCTGCGCGTCAGGGGAAAGGAGTGGGGCAATGAAGCTGGAGATTTTCAAGGGAAGTACTGCAGAGAAGCCAACTAATGTTGACAATGTAAATGAACTGAATTTACCCTATAATTATCTTTAACCTCCTACTTGGCCTTGGCGATAAATGAACAACCACAAAGATGGTGGTATGTAAGATTATAAACAGAGATAGGATGGAATGATAGGATGTATGTAAGTGACCAATTAAGCCCTCCCAGTTTCCCTCAGATGATCGTGAGAAGTTAGCCGTTTCCCACCCTCTGCATACTTCTGGTATGAACATTGTCCTGGGTTTTGTTTTAGAAGCCTTGGCAGCTTCTGAAAACCTACTGTCTCCCTGGAAAATGTTAGGCAAACCAGAGCCTGCTGTCTGCTAGTCATAAACATGTCCTTTCCAAGAATGGGCTCTCCAGAACAATATGTCCTAATGCTCTTTGGGTCAAAATTAACTGCAAAAGACTTGAGTTATTACTTGTAACTATCAATTAGTGAAAAGATGAGACTAGAACAAAGACCAAATACACCAGCAATGTGGCCTCTTAGAATTTTTGTTTGGGGGTATTTGTTTTTTAAGTAAAGGGGATATATAAACCCTCAATAGCATCATTGTATAACAGCTAAGACAGACTCTAGAGCCAAAGTTCATGGTTCAAATCCTGACTTTCTGTGACCACTCACTGTCACCTTGGACAAGTTAATTACCCTAACTGTGTCTCAGTTTCCTTTCTTTAAAATGGGATGTAATGAAAGTATCTACCCCTAATAATTGTAACAAAGACTAAATGAGTTAATATTTCTGAAGTTCTAACCCCTTGGGATAGAACCAGTAAGACACAATCCAAAGCAATCTTAAAGATGTCAGTGTGTTATGAGGATGATTATATATGTCCCTAGTCATCATCAAAAAGCCCATCACCTTTTTCTTGCTAATTAACAGCAGCAGCAGCTCAGGGAGCAGAAGGTAGTGAAACAGTAATCAGCCCATTTGCAAATCACTGTCTGCCTTAAAAGGCTGGGGGGAGAGGTGGAGAGTGTCAATACTGTGGTTTAGAGAACATGAGAGGGTTTCAATCATCCGTGCTTTCTCAGTCTCCTCATTCCACAAGCTGAGTTTTTAAGTGAAATCAAGTGTTAATAAAGTGTTATGAAAATCACAGTCTGTATCCATCAATCCACACATATAAGCCAGCCTTGGTTTTCTTGAGCTATCCATCAAAAAAGCAGTGACGTTCAAAAGAATAAGTAGCTGACATTAAAAAGGATAACTATCTCCTATAATTATCCCAGAGGCATTATCAAATAAGCCAGTTCTCTACTTCCCATTCTTTGAAAGAATTTCAAAGAACACAAGGTAAGTTTACACGACTATACAGAGGAGTAAGCAAATTCCCTGCTGTCAGCATTGGAGCACTTAGTGAAATCACACAGACTTTATTTTTAGGTTGATTAAATCATTTGTCTGTCCCACCCCAAGTGCCAGTCTCACCCATCATCTCTTCTTATCGTTCCTCCCTCCACAGAGCCAACACAAATATTTGTTGAATGGAAGAATGAATAGCTTCCTTCCTTCGTATAACTGACCTCACAAAACACTTTATTAGGAAATTATTACTCCCTGAACTCTGAATTTACAGATAATTTTTGAAGAGTGGGCAGAATTGAAGGGCGACTTAACCTAGCAAAAATCGATCAGAAAACTAGCCCAGAAAAGGCTTCCGTTCCAACAGATCTATGATCACTAATATTCTAAGGATGGGAAAACTTCAGAGAAGTGAATTTTTTCTGTTGAATGGGTATCATCATTTGCAACCTTACTCTCAATCTTTGTCATCTTGTTCTGCCCCTCTCCCCTGACTCCCACCCCCACCACCCCCACCATTTATAAAAAGGGGTTTCCCTCTTGCTTTGTTCCCTTATTGATCAGATTTTACAAAAATAAATTTTGAGAAAAAGACCAAGTCTATCCTTTTAAATGGGATGTGTTTCCAGGTTCTATGAGGTTTCATGAATTCTCTAGAGCATTGAACTCCGGTCACATGAATTCCTTGGAAAAGATGAATTGCGTTAGAGGAGGAAAAAAAGGTCAGCTCTGGATTAGATTAACGGGGTTGAGACATTTGTTATTCTTATGAAACAAGCTGGGAAAAAAAATGGTAAGATTCAGACATCCTGTTAAAGTTTATATCCGGTGAGAATGTGTCTTTCTACATTTATATCTACCTGAGTATTCCAGTTACTGTCACTGCCACAACACTGCTCCAAGATTAGTAGCATAAAACAAGCATTTTAGTATGATTATGGGTCCCATGGGTCAGGCATTCAGAAAGGGCACAGTGAGGACATCTTGTCTCTGTGCCATAATGCCCCCGGACCTCCTCTGAGAAGACTCCAAGGCAGGGGGTAACTTGACAGTTTGAGGCTGGCATCATTGGAGGTTTGCTTACTCACAAGTCTGGCAGGACTTGCTGGCTGTTGGCTAAGAACTCAGCCGGGCTGTTCACTGGAACACCAACACGTGGCCTCTCCACGTCTCTTATTGGGCTTCCTCACAGCAAGGTGGCTGGGTTCTAAGAGAGAGTATCCCAGGAGCAGCTCGGTGAAGCTGTGCTATCTTTTATGACCCAGCCTTAGAAGTCACATAGTGTCACTTCCACCATAGTCACAAGCCCACCCAGATTAAAGGGGAGGGAACACAGGCTGCCCCTCTCAGTGAGAGGAGTGTCAGTTACATTAAAAGAACAGAGGAAGGGAGATATTATTGTGGCTATCTTTGAAAAATACAAGGTGCCTCTTTGGGCATAAGATACATTTAAATTGTTCTCATGTGGTGGCGTAGAGGATAACAATATCTCTAGCCTTTGAATCTGTTTGCTTAGTTTGAACAAAATTAATCAATATCCTTTTCTCTGTAGATTGGTGACAGGGAAAAAAATAACTCTTTGTTTATTAACACAGAACCAAGACAGAGAAAGTGAGAATTATTGGTAAGTATATATACTTTGATAATAATAAGTCCATCCCTGAAACCTGAGAGTATAGTAAATCTAAAAAAGAGAGGTTAGGGTGGGTGGGAGATGAAGCTTGATGGGATGAGCAGCAGCCTGGAGGAAAAGCTTGGGAAGAAACAAATTTGGCAAAGCTAAGCATTAAGTCTCTCTGGAGAATTAGCCCCAAACTAACAAATGAATCCTTGGGTTTAATGTAGCACTGATGACTAACATCATTTTTCCTATCACGGAACTAAATTTTGTGTTTAGAAGGTTTGATGCAATCGCTCTTTGCAGCTAGCCCAAAGAGATTTCTCTGCCCCTATTTCTCCTCCTCCTTCTTCTCCTGCTTTCTCCGGCACCCACTCTACCCCGAGTTCAATCTCAACTCCAAAAAGGCAAGTACCTTTGGGAAAGAATGCTCTTCTACCCCACTGCGTATCCTATAAATTTCTGCTGGTGGACTTGAGAGCCTCCCTCGAATGCTACCATGGGTTCCTACTATCACCTGGAAATGTGTAGAGTGATAGAGATCCTCTGTCTAATTGGTTTGGGGTATTCATAAATTGTGGTATCAAAGGAATGACCCTAATAATAATGTGGTAGTCAGAATTATGGCCCCTTAAGGTATTACATGGCAAAAGGTATTTTGCAGAGGTGATTCAATGAAAGCTCTGGAGATGGAGAGATTATCCTGGATTATCTGGGTGGGACCAATATAATCACAAGGGTCCTTATAACAGGGAGGCAGAAGGGTCAGAGTCAGAGAAGGAGATGTGATGATAGAAGAAGAGGAGAGAGAGAGAGTTTAAGATGCTGTACCGCTGGCTTTGATGATGAAGGAAGGAGCCACTAGCCAAGGAATGCAGGCAGGCAGCCTCTTGAAGCTGAAAAAAGCAAGGAAATTGATTGTTGCCTAGAGCCTCCAGAAGGAAACCAATCCTATTGACTATCTGAGACTTCTGACATCCCAAACTGTAAGATAATAAATTTGTGTTGTTTTAAGCCATTAAATTTGTGGTAATTTGCTACAGCAGCAATAGGAAACTAATACCAACAACTTATTTTTGTTGCTGTTGTTTGTTGCAGAAACTACATGAGGCTCTGGTGAAAGCTGTTTGGGGAAGAATTATTTCTACAAATCTTTATGGATTGCAATTGGATCAATGTGACAGGAGTTTAAAGGAAACCCTGGACAGCGACTTCTGGAAGCAACCCATGAAGATATAAAGAATGAAATCCAAGATCACTGTTCTAAAGTCAAATTCCTTTCTGCTTAGGACATAACTACTCTCATGTGTACAAAATAACCATACTGCATTTGACACTTGAACTGGTCAAGTTTGTTATGACAGGCCTGTATCTTATTTATGTAAATCAAAATATGCTTAAAATTTGTCTGGGAATTTATTGACACTTCTGACCCTAGGTTGTATGAAACAGTGATGAATGCCAAATATTGATAGACTATTCAAATCTCAAGAGTAATACTGTGAAATTGGGCATGCCTAAATGCTACGATTCTCTACAGCTGAAAGATGAAATAATTTATTTTCTCATAACTGTGTTAGAGTACATAATAAGATTCTCCTGAGAAATGTATGAATTGTGTCTTCAATTTGCCCCTTCGGATTTACCTGTTATTCTTCTCCACCCTGTCCTGTGCCCTGGGTGGCGGGCCTAACACAGGCCAATTCAATATGCTTCCTGGGGTTCTTTGCCTTCTGGCTTGAGAGTTTGGCAAACAGAAAGCCCCAGAAGGTGACCAAAGGGACTAAGAAGGGTTTAGTGGGAGTATATATTCTTCCAGCTTCTTCCCAAATAAGCTAGTACTGGAATCCTTGATTCAGGGTCTGCTTCTGGGGGAATCCAATCTAAGACAGACGGTATCTGGGAACTGCCGCCATCTTTAGGATGGGCCCTTCAGTCTTGCTTGTATGACCCATAGCTGATTGAACCCAAGCTGCACCCATCAGATCTCTTTCCCTGAGATCTCATATTGGAACAGAGAAGATGCTGGTCATTGTCTGCAGGAGGCTGGGGCTCTCACATGTGTACTCGGGAGCTCTGCAAGGTCATAGTGTACCATGGGTAGGAGAAGCAGGGAAAGCTAGTCTGCAGGACAAGGTGGGATGTTTCAGGGGTGCTGGGGAGACACAGAGAGAGAGGCAGAGGAGAAGAGAATGGGCCTGAGAATCAGAGAAGAGAGATGACTTCCTCTTCCAGTCTCCCTCCTACATCCGGCCCCTGGTCTGTGAATTATGCCAAAATAGGTATGATGTAGGGATAAATTCTACCTTGTCTTCCAAGCTAGCTCAAGTAACTTCTATAACAGCCTATCAAAGAGTCAGTTAATCCTGAACAGGATCATAAAATTACACTCACACTCTCCGTGAGCCAAAAAGTTCTGCTCTACTGCACTTTTTGTGAGAATTTCCTTCTCACAGCCCTGAAAGCACAATGATGGTTAATCTCCTCACAGGTGACTGAGCAAATCTTCAACTACCCTCTTGGCATCCACAAAACCTGGCCTGAAGACCTGGCTGGCACATAGAGCAAGGTGTTTGTGGTCCAAAACAACCTAGAATGGAACAATTTATTCCCTAATTACTCTAGCTAGAATGGTGCAATCTCACCAAGCTGCCCCAGATTTAGAGATATGTGGAGTTGGAGGAAGTCAAATATGCATGAGCAGGAACAGACTGTGACAGCAATTCTGCAAGCTCCCCGACTCCTACTTGCTGCCTCCAGGGTTCCAAATCCTCAGCCTCCCTGTCTTCATTATTGGGCCACCTGAAAGTATGGGTGTCATAGGTGGCTCCCCATATGATGCTGTTGTTGAGGAGCAGCATTACCCTGATTCAAAGTATCCTTTTTCTACCAGCCTGCCACAGTTTATAAAATTCTCATTATTGAATTGTGCTTTTGCTTAAGATATTAGTTTGAGAATCACTGCTAAAGCACAGATGTATTATAAAAGTACAGGAAAAAAGACTGGAAACATAGTCATTACTGACTGGGCTCTGCCAATCTGGGTGGGCCATGGAGCAGCTCAGTGACCCCAGGCTTGGTCACCAAAATCCCAGTGCCACTCCAACCTCCATACACATCCGCCCACACAGACCTCTCCCATTGAGGTCCTGTCACTTCCTGGGAAACCTTGCAGGGGCCAAGGGCTGGATCCACCTCCTCTTCTTCTCCCAGTGGGATGGTGGGGGTGGGTGAGGCCAGGGTGGGGAACACAACGTCACCCTCCACCTTATCCTGGAAAAATAAAACGTCTTTCTCTTCCTTCTTTGGACAATCAACATAATTAATGCAATCAATACAAACCACCAGCACTTATAAACAAAGGCCTGAGATTGGGGAATGTCTTCAGCCCCATGTTCCTGGTCAAAGAGACCTGGAAGCCTATCCTTGCTGTTCAGGGTAGGGTGGCACCAGGAAGATTTCTTTTCACGCTTTTTGGCGATGGGAGAGAGGATGCAGGAAAGGGATTGGAGAAGGAAGCATTAAAAGGCCTTAAACACTGTTGGAATTAGATTTGTTTGTTGAACAAATATCTGTTGAGTGCCTACATTAGGCACCAGGAATACAAAAAATAGGCTCCTGTTTTTGTGAAACTTAGAGATTAAAGAAGGAGATGGATAAACATCCAACAGTCACTCCAAGATAGTGGTTCTTAACTAGGGATGATTTTGTCTTCCAGGGGATATTTGGGAATGTCTGGAGACATTTTTGTCACAGCTGGAGAGCTTGCTACTTGCATCTAGTGAGTAGAGGCCAGGAATGCTGTTAAACATCCTATAGGTGCAGAAGAACCCCTCCATAGTAAAGAATTATCTACCCCAAGATGTCAACAGTGCCAAGGCTGAGAAACTCTGTATTAAGGCAGTGGTTCTTACAGTGTAGCCCTAGACAGGCAGAGTCAGCATCATTCTGGAACTTGTTAGAAATGCAAATTCTTAGGCCCCATCCTAAACCTACTGAATCAGAAACTCTGCAGGGTGGAAACCAGCATTCTGTGTTTTAACAAGCCCTTCAGGGGATTCTGATGGACACTAATATTTGAGACCCACTGAATCAAGGAATGAAGGAATCTATCGTTATAAACTGAGGCTAATGCTCTGAAGGAAAAGAACTCTGTACTGATGCTACTCAAAAAGTGGTTTGCCCACTATTGGCAGCATCAGCATCATCAGAGATGATTTCAGTTTGTTAGAAATACAAATTCTTGGGCCCCACAGAGCCCTGTTGAATCATGGGAGGTATGTAGAAACCAGATCAAGAAAACCATTGGAGGACATTCTACATAATTAAGACTTTATACGATGGGAAATTGGGAACCTCTGAATAATTCAAGTTCTGGCAATAAAGAGGTTTAGGTTGAAGAAAAGATTAGAGGCAGGGAAGCCAGTTGGGAAGTTACTGAGGTAGCTCCAAGGGGATGTGAGCTAAGGCAGAGACAGCAGGGACAGAATGGAGGAAGTACACGTGAGAAAACCTCAGGAGGCAGAGTTTACAGGATGTGACAACTGATTGGATTAGGGAATGAAGGTGTGTCAGAAATTCTTTTGACTGAAAGTAACAAAAAAAATCCCAATTTAGAGTGGCTTAAACAGAGAGGAGTTTGTTTTCCTCCTGCCACAAGAAATGTAGACCAGGGCAACTGCCACCTTTGGTCCAGTGATCCAACAATATCAAGGATGGTGTCTCTGTGATTCTCTTGGCCTTTCCTTAATATTTGTCACCTCATATTCACAAGATGGCTGCTGCAGCTCCAGATATCTTCTGTGTTCTAGGACAGAAGGAGGAAATAAGAAAGACAGGGTCTGTTCCTTTTAATAAGAAAGAAAAGGTTTTTGCAAAACCACTTGGAGACATATTTATTGAGCTGCATCACATGACCACTCCTATGGTGTGAGAAACTGTTTCTCATCAACATCTCCATAGTAGAGAAAGAGGTTGAAAACCGGTATTAAGCCCTCCAACCTACAGTATCTGCTGCAAGGAAGGAGGGAGTAAACTAGAACGACTGGCTTGAGTGATTGGGGAAACACTGGCACCATTCCCTAAGATAGGAGAGACATGAGAAGAAACATACGTGGAATGGGAAGAAGCTTGTAGTAGATTGTCTGCTGCAATAATTCTTCCCATCATTGTATACATGACCCTTTGTTACGTGACTTTGCTGCTCTTGCCGTCAAGAAGTAGAATTTATTTCTCCACCCCTTGAATCCGGGCTTAGCTGTGTGACTGTCTTTGCAACTGTTGACTGTCTTTGTCAACAAGACATTAGCAAGAGTGACCCAAGCAGAGGCCTGTAAAGCACTTGCACATTGAGGCTTGCTCTCTTATGGCTGGAGTTGGAACACTGAGACAACGATATGCTTAAGCCTGGTAAGCTCTATGGAGGAGAACTGAAGTGCCCCAGCCAAGAGCCCGCACCAACCACCAGATATGTGAGTGAGGCCATTTTAAACCACTGAGCCCCGATGGACCACCAGGTGACTGCAGCCTTATGAGTGAATTCTGGTGAGATCAGCAGAACTACGCAGCTGAGCCCAAGCCGAATTGCTCCCCACAGAATTATGAGCAACTCAGTATCCTGGTGGAAATGTCCAGGAGATAACTGAACTTCTTGATCCAGAGCTGGAGAAAGATTTGGGAGTTATTAGCACATGAGGAGTATTTGAAGCTGTGAAAAGGATGAGATTGCCCTGAGGCCAACTCAGGAACATCAAGGAGAGGTGGAAAATAAAATGGAAAAGGAACAGGCACAGAGCTCATAAGAAGCCATAAAAGGAATTTCCAGAAGAAGAGAAGTATTAACAGTGTCACATGCCAAGGAAGTGTTAGGAAAGGTGAAGATCGAAAAGAGAACATTGGATTTGGCAATTGGTGGGTCATCAGGGGTCTTGGCCAGAGCAGTTTCAGTAGACAAGAGAGGCCAGAGGTCAAGCTGCAATGGGATCGCAATGTGTTGAAGAGTAAGTGGGAGAAAGGGAAGTAGACTATTTTTCCTAGGAGTTTGGGCTGTGTAGGCAGACGGAGAGTGGTGGCTAGATGAAAACACACATTCAGGGAGATCTGAAACTTCTTTCTTTCTTTTAAGATAGGGGAGGCTTGAAAATGTTTAGAAAGTGCTGGGGCAGAGAAGGTATTAAGAAAAGTCATAATCATCTTTGGGGCTTGGTTCCTGAGAAGCAGGATTTATCTTAACCAGGAGAAAGGGCACCATAAAACGCAAAAAGAAAGAAAAAAGATGTGTGTTATGGTGGTGAATGAGAGATGTAGGGTTGTAGATACAGGGATGGGAAGTGAGGTACCCATGCTTGGAAGCATCTGTTTCCCCTGGGTTGTCAGAGGCCAGAGAGGCAGGAGGACAGTGGCTGTAGAAGAGTGGTGAAGGTTTGGAACAGCCACGTGGGAGTGAAGGAGAGAGCTGAGCAGGCACCAGTGTGGGATTTACTGAGGTGCAGAGGTCCACCTGAGGCTCCACGAGCACTCATTTTGCCACTATCTGTGGAGCTGTGTAGTGCTCAGAAGTCTGTGTGTAGGGACTAGAAATGTGAAGACTGGCTCAATTCACAGATTTTCTC